AACAGCGCGGTCTGATATCTGCTACCGGCAGCTCCGGCTATGGACTTTCAGATAATGGCGGAGGGGTCAGTAGGTAGGGATCGTAACGTAATGTTATCCCACCAGGAGAGGCCAGACATCTCACCGCTCAACCGTTCTGGTGAGAGACGTCAAAGAGTTCCGACGTGCGTAGAGAGCTAGGTCAGTGAGGAGTGTGAGACGCCATTTTGTAGAAAAGTGCGAAGTAATTATTCATGCGAAATAATAGTACGATAGCAGAAAATTCAACCTTCTGAACTGTGATTAACTAGACGAAGTATAATATTTCATAAAGACTATGGAAAGTAGTGGAGTAGCTAGTACGAGCGGAATAGTGGCCGCGAAAGCGAGAATTTTGAGCTGATGCGGGGCGTCAGTAAACTGTGCAGTTAGGTACACGAGTATGAAGTGTTGTTAAGAACGACAGAAAACCGATAAACCGTTAGTAAACACGCGTGAGGACTTTGAAATACGCGTCGGAGTACCGCATACAAAGAACAGGGAAGAAAGAAGAGATGAGGATTCTGGTACCGAGCGTGGCCAAGAAGCAAGGCGAAAGAAAATTGGACGTGAATCTGGTGGCAGGAGAGAGAAGACGGCGTTTCGAACAACATCGCAGACGGCTGGTCTGTGAGGGAGCGAAGCAACGGTGCGACCGGAACGGCAGGTGGGGAGCAGCGGCGACGACAGGACAGCCGGAGCTTCACATCCTCAGCTGCAGCGCGAGCGCCGGACAAGATAACGAGAATATTTGCAACGGGAATTTTGTGAGCGTTAATTTTTATTTTCTGAGTGAATTGCTTTAAAAATAAAAATTTTGCACCAAAAATTACCTTTTTTTTGGTTATATTTTTGATTAATTCCAAAGACATTCTCTTCAATTTCAAATATTAAAGCTTGTTAGGATTTATGGGTAAAAATGAACGAAAAAACGTTTTGTATAAAATGGAATGGGGGAGATGCGATGAATATCGGAAAATTGGTAATCTTCGTTTTTATCTATCCCACTCTACTAGTTGGTTCAAAGTGTTTCAGGCCATTTTTTGTATTCTTAAACAGCTATAGCTTTTGCAGGTGATGGTAAAGCATAAAACACAATCAACTACATATGTAAAAGACGAATGCTTGGAAAAAATATATTTGAAGAGTAAACAGAACCAATTAATAAGAACAAACACAAAGGAACAAATAAAGACACAGAAAATAATGGAACAGTTAAAATACCATACATTTTACCATGTTACATTTTCATGAAACAACAATACCTTGGTGAACACTAAAAGCCACATCATAGGTAAGTTTTCCTAGCTACAGATAAATTAAAGAATCAAATTAAGCAGTATAACGAACATATGAAGAAAGATGAAGATTGAACATTCAGTGTGTAAAGGGCTACAGGTTTGGAAAAGGATGCATCATGCACAGAATGGTATGCAATCAATAAGGAAGACAATGATTGTTTAGTCTTTCTGAGAAGTCTGGATACTTGAACTTACACTGACATCATTGACAACCAATTCATGGCGGCTAACTGCAGTCAAGTAGGTCCTGAGTTCATTCTCATGTAAGATGACACCTGCTTGAATGTTGCTGGTATCACCAGGAATTTTCTAAGGAAGTATCACAAATTCATAAATTGATTGATTATATTAGAATTATCAGCACTTTTATGAGAAATACTCCCAGGACTTCCAAAATTCAAATGTTTCAATTTAAAAATTCTATGTAATAAAAATTTCAATATAAATAATATCAATAGAATTTCCCCCAAAAAATTTGTAAGAATCATTGAAAGTGTTAATGGGCATGTATTCATATTTGAGTGATTATAATACGATACATGATTTCTTTTGCAATTGGCAGTAAAAGGTCATGGGTATTATATTCGCACTGTTTATGACAAACAACAACATATAACTAAATTACTATTTGCACCAGCTCAAATAGCTACTACAAAGTAACATTTACAATGGAAAATTATAATACTCCACAAAATGTACTTAATGAAGCAATTTTATAACAATGACATGTACTCTTATGGTTGTAAGAGCTGAAGCTGGGACAAAATCCCCCAAACATACTGACAGATAAGACAGTGAAATCTTTGAACTTTGATTTCTGTGAATTTCCAGAAAAAAATGTCAATTCCAGATTTACTCAATATGTCAATTCCCCAAAACAGTATACCTTTAGCTGCTTCAAAATCACAAATTACATTTATTATTAGCTGTTATAGAACATTATCACAATATCACAGAATGGCAGCAGGGGATTTACCATTTGCAAGGCTAAGCTAAAATATTTTTGAGGCTTCCCTTTTTACTGACATTACCATTTTTGAGATTAGAGATTTTAACCTTTTTACTTAAAATTAATTAAGCAACTAAAACATGCCATCAAATCATATTATTCACATTTTAAATTTAAAAATTGATTACAATCAACCATATCATAGTAACATCTATAAGTCAAACTAGCTGCAATATAATTCAACACTACATTAATCATTAATATAAACGGAACTGACAAAAATGACGTTAACGGAATGGTTTATTCACAAAATTAGAAATAGTATAGTTGAAAGTTAAAACCTCAGTACTTATCATTTTGACAGAACATTATTGTTAGTGAATGAATGTAGCAACACACATTTTATTATATTCTTATAAAACAAGTATCAGTAACAATTTCCACTCAGTAATTATCAAGAAAACGGGCAGTTCGTTCCATTCACTAATTGGTATCCATGCTGTTACAAGATTTTGTTAAAAATTTAGTAACTGAATTAAATGAGTGAATTGTTCAAACCATATGTTGTTCATGTCATTGTTGAAGCATAAGTTGTCCTGATAACAATTTACTCATTTAATACAGTAACATTGAAACAAGGCTTCAGCGTAGATATAGAAGAATCCGCCTAAGAATGAGCCAAAATGACAGTTCGCTAAACAAGTAAACATCACATGAAATTCAGAGAATTATTCCTCCGCCGCGACAGCTGTTCAGCCACGCCTCTTGGTAAAGTGTTCGTTTGTACATGGATCCCGTTAAGACATCATGGCTTCTCATAGTTCACAACCGTGTATCTATATAAAAAATAAATTGACACAACGCAAACCACAGAATATTCTCGATCACAGGTCGCCACTTTACCGCACAGGAACAGGACACTTGTGCGACAGTATGCGTCTGATATTCAAGACTTGGTTTTCTAATAAACATAATAGTTATCACACGGAAAGTGAATTCAATGTAATGTTTATAAAGGCAATTTTTACAGAAGAGCACGATAGCACTGCATTTACAAATTTCGATTATTTCTCGTAGCGAACTATATTTACGTCGGACGAGGACATCACGAAAGGAAGCTTCCAAGCCATTTACGAGTTAGCCAACTGCAAACGAACGAATAAAGGAAGGAGAGTCAAATGGGCTGAAAGACAACGACCACAGAATCTTCAGTTATGTTGCCAGCACTAGCTGTCAAAACTTAATTCTTACAAAAAATCGCTCTACATTAAATAGAATGAGCGAAAAACTTTCCGTTGTTCTCGATATAACCATAAAGGTGACAGAGTGGTGATAAATATCAAATTAGGGTTCATATATTTTTTACAAAAATAAGGGACAGCGGTATTTTTCACCTGAAGGTACATTAAAATCACAAAAGACACGTGTCAATTAATTCCATATTCTCTTTTACTCCATATTTTTATTATAATACTGGTCGACAGAGGCAGTGTTTTTTGGGATGTAAACGGTATTTTTCTATAGTTTGATTGTACAAAAAAGGCTATGATACATCCAAAACTTCAATTTTGTGAAGTGGGCAACCAAAAACCAAAAATGACTATCCAAATAGCGACGAATAACTCCATGTAAATGAAATTCCATATAACTTACGATTGCAGCCCGGAAATTCGGTCATTAATTTTACCTAAAAAGGCATTTACTTTTACTAAAATAAGCATGCAAAAGGCACTTATTCCGGATAAAAAACGGGGTGCAAAATAGTAATTTACATCATACGACAAGAAAGTCAACCTTATCACGAGACAGGAGAGTTAACCTGTCGAGGCGGGAAATTCTGTCGAGTCATAAAAAGGTACTTTTGACGAGTGATCAACAATATTTTATTCGATATCTAAAAGCATGTTTTCCAGTAACTATTACTGACATGAAATGTAGTGTGCTTCTCACGCGATCATTTGTTCTCTTAACATGGTTACACACTTGTTAATAGTTGTTCTTATGCTTCCTTGAATTGTAACAGGAATGTCAGGTTCTATCGATGTAATAGATCTTGGAATGGATAATAATTTGGACATAATGGAAATCCGCCTGATATTTTATTAGAACTAGTGAGACTGCCAAAACACAAACTTCTCGCGTTGTTTCTAAATGCTCTGCAACATTATACTACTACATAAACCAGCAAAAGTATTTTCAAGCAGCAAATTATTTTCCCTTCCGAGACTCCAACTTAAACCCTCAGAGTTAACGTGCCGACACTCATAATACGCCACAGAAGCGCCGCATGGATGCGAACTCGGGAAAGGCATAAAAAGGTAAAAGCCCGATTTATGAAAAAAAACACATTAATCAGGGAATATCAATTTTGAAGGCAATCAGCTGACATGATCTTTTTTAAAGAGCTAATTTTGTTCAACAGACTAATTTTGTTTCTGCCAGTGCCGCAACATCCATTTACATTTTCTTCGTCTCTTCGAAGACTATTTTATCTTTGGTAGAGATCTCTTGTACATTTCAGTATTCAATATTCATTAACTGTTTCCGAAGCTTACTTCTGCTTAAAATCGTTCCAAGGTGCACTCGTAAGCGCGCAATGCGCCTTCCATGGTTCCAAATTCGCCTCCGCTAGGGTTTTTACCACGTCGACTTCCTAGTCGATATGAGGGTCGTTGCGATCTGTGTGTACACACTACGCTCTCATTAATCGTCGCAATGTCGCCAAAAAAGGTGTTGAAGTTCAGATCCAACGGCACGTGAGACAGGTGGAGTACTCTTTTACTTGCAGGAATTCTCAGGCTGGACTCCCACGCGACTTCGGCGGAGAATCCAGTGGTCGCAAAAATGGATATGATTTCGAAGCAAACGTGAATAAACTTTCTGAATAAAAGGCTTTGTGAGGAACAATCATTTGAAGAGCTTATTACAAAAACGACCATAGTCGAAAATCCAAACTTTTCAAGAGAAGCAAAAACTCTCTTCGTTAGTATTATTAAAAATGGCGTGGAATATAAAAAATAGATAAATTGAAGTTTATGGATGATTATTAATTGCTAGTCCTTACATTACTTGGGTAGAGGCTACACAAATTGAGGTTTCAAAATAGAGTGACTGTAGATTTTGGTGTTTTCTGCCAAAATTATTACTTCTCATGAAATTTGAACGTGTACACGTAATAATTTTAATCAAGTAAAAATTTCATATTCATAGAAAGCAAGGTTTTATTCTCAAAGCTATTTTACAAGCAATTTCAGAAACTGAACAAAAGGCTTCATAGATCTTCTGCTCCACTACTATTTTCATCATAAGAGATTTCCTAATCTTCAATGGTGTTTTCATTTCTATAATTTGTGTCTGCAACTAAATTATCATATCAAAGTTTGATTTTTAGGGTTCCCAAAACACTGAGAAAGTCTCTGAACATCTGCAAGTTTCTTTGGTTTCAGTAGAAGAGGTTTGTAATATAGTGTCTGAACAGTAATTTTACCAGGTTTCTTGCTTCTGATATTTATCTTACTCAAAGCACCATGATATGCACTCTTAATAAGGACACGAGGTTCTTATTGTATTATTTTAAGGATTCTAACTTCTCAACACCAGAAATTACGTTCTTCAACGGTAACATGTCTAAATCACCTACCATTGTCATGGAATCGTAATCAAGATGCAGCAGTACAGCCAACCTTTACGGAAAAAACAACCATAATCCATTCCTGTCAATGAACATCGGCTGCTTTTGCAGAAAACTGAGTAGATTGATTGTTTTTGCAAAACTAGTGATATTTCAAAGCTCCACACTATTTAATACAGATGAAGCTCGAGGATAGCAGCATAGAACACCGTAGGGAACTCGAAATAGTCGTTTCTGGAAAAAGCTCTATTTATATGTGAGAGCTGCTAATGTTAATGCAGAGCAAGCAAAGATTTCAGTGTGTATTTAAACATTACTATAAAGAATGATTCCTTTATTGAGATTCTGTACTTCTTTCTGAATAAAGGTCTTTTTTATCTTCAGAAGTGACATTAGTTGTTTTTTTCGCCCTTTTTTCCTTCTTTTTTCAGTTCGATTCATTTGGCAATGATAATGTAATGTTCATCCTTACTGAATGATTATATCAGTCCAATGAGAAATGAATGTATTTATTTGAATAATAGTCTACAAAGAAGACCTGAACCCCATATCCAAAAATGAGTACTTGTGACCTAAACCAATTTACGAATCTAGCACATCCACAATAAGGTATCAATATATTATATACATAACGATTAAACTTGAAAACACTAAAAACCTTTATTTCTTCATACAAAATTTAGCAAAGTATGTAATAATTAGGACTGTGATATATATGCAATAAAAATAGCGAAATAAGCGCCATATATGTAAATATATTTGATAATATATGCAATTAAAAAAGGAAAGTACGCGAAATAGTGTAATGTAATGTGTAAGTGTAAAAATAAATAAAAAGTGCAATGTAGAAAATATGTTTACAGCAAAAAATATACAGATCCGTGGCAATGTAAAATCCTTGGAAGCCCATTGCTTCAGAGCAGGTCACATGATGTACCATAGCAAGTGGCGAGAGAACTGTCAGAGCCCCTTCCACGCTGACGGAACTGTAACTTTTGGACTTCATTTCGCGGATGAGGTACGCATATGAAACAAAAATATGTAAATATGGCCCAAATATATTACGGTAATATAAGCGAAAATATGCAAAATAAAAATTGCTTAAATTGTTGGCTGGGCTATCCGGGACGAGCCGCGTCAATATGGTGGCTAACGTTTCGGCCAGCGTATTGTGGCCTTCTTCAGAGCGTACTGCCATTACATTAGCCACCATGACATTGACGCGCCTCGTCCCGGATAGCCCAGCCAACATAAACTCCGACCGCGGAAGCCTACGCAACCAATTGCTTAAATTGATTCTAAATGCCTCAAAACGTATACAATTTATTGAAACGAGAAGTTTTAGTTAACAGAAAAAAATATGCAAATGCATATTAATCACAACACTAGTAATAATGTTTTGACGAAAATATTTTCTTCTATGCGACTTAATCAAAATATTTATTTTTAGGTTATACGAAATTTCGTGTTTAGAAACAATGGGGCGATACAATTTCCACTAACCTTTCAACGCTCAAGATTAAGGGGGGGGGGATATGTATTTACCTATCAGTCCGAGAGCTATTTATTAGCAATAACATCACGTACGTGCCTCATTTTGTTGCTTCAGAGGGACCTGGAGCGATGAGAGCAGCCGTTCTAGCTAAGCGGGGGGGGGG